TCTCTATCTCAGGGAATTCCATTGATAGTTCATTTATGACTAGATCAACTTTTAATGTCTCCCCCTTGGGATGAGACTCGACTGTGCTAGAGGTTGGACTCTCCATATCTAAGATGAAATAAATATTCTTAGGACGATTTGAAGTGAATATTCAGACAAGAGAATTTTGTTCAGAGAGAAGAAACACCTTGCGTGTTTTGAGTAAAAAGTGATTTAATGATCTCAACCTATATTTGTAAGTTGACATAAATGATCTGCTCCCTTTTTAGATTATATATATTTTGGAAATTACCTAGCAATTACCTTCTAAAAAGCTATCAACAGTATTATTTGATAAACTCTGTCGAAGGGTGATTTACTAATTTCTTACTTTCATCGCTAAATTTCCAATTATCAAATTGAGCCCCTAAAACACTGCGTTTAAGGTTGTGAAACTCAATTTCAATTGGGAATCAATTTCCTTATTAAGCATACTCTGCCAAACCATTTGTATCGTTTTGTGTCTGAACGAAATCAAACGACACAATTAACTAACTCTCCAACGCTTAGAAAACTATAAGGCATCCTTCACCCTATCTCATCACCAATTCACTCTCTAATCTTCCAAACTTTCAATCCTTTAATCTTTGAACTTTACGAAGTGCGAAATGACTTCTCTTCCTTTGCAAGAAGTGCTCATATCTTTTCTAGTATAAGATTATTCGATGGAGGCTCATGAATTGTGCGAATTAATAAGCAAATACCACCAGAAATTCAGATCTGACTTTCTATGGAATATTTCATCTTCGACCGCCGAAGAAGGTGTTCTGAAAGGCAAAGCCTCAATAGGGCCAACATTTGTGAAAGGAAAGCCAGCCTAGGTTAACCAAGTGTATCCTTGGTAAAGGTTCGCCTCGCCCTGTTGCATTCAATGAATTGCATCCAAAAGGAAATTGGGTTTTAAGCCAGAATCCAATTAAAAGTTGGGTACAAGACTTGATTGCCAGGGGTTGGTTTATGCTGTTTCCAAAATTCCACTCCTCATGGGAGAAGAAGAGAAATTTCGGTTTCCTCAAACTGGCGACATATGGCAAAATTCCATTCCACACGGATCGCTGATGTGTGCCCACATATCGCTCTGGGATCCCGTGTTTAATTGTTTCTTCCTACGCCAGGGTTGCATGACTGTCACCCTTACTTATTTGGCCTTGCTTATTTGGTTTATCACCTTATGATGATAAAAGGTCAATAAATCAGAGTGTTTAACCTGATTGAAGGAACTAGACCCTTATATAGCAGAATTCACAACCTTCTGAAGAAAATGTTAGCAACGTCCAAAAGCAGCAAGATCGGCTTAAATGCCCGTATCTCATACTTTGCATCATCATTATATGCTGGCAAGGTGTTGCAGGAGGAAGAGTTACTTTTTATTTTATTCTCTTGTACTCGTTTAATGATATGCAAATCTGGTGGCATTTTTGCACTGGTATTGCCACTTGCGGTGAACATTTCCCATAGCAAGTCTTTTATAGCGCTAGGTCCAATCTTATTAGGATAATTGTATAGATGTCTGTTTAGATGTAGGGAAGCTCTTAATGAAGGTCAGAGCTTAGAAAATGTAGGTGGACCATAATGGTTGGTCACCTGTTGGGGTCATCTCTACACTACTTTGTGTATGGAGAAGACAGAAGACGAAGTTAAGAAAGAGATGGCAGCTAAGTTAGCTTTATATGTATCCAAGCTTGATTGTAGGGAAAAAACTTTGAAAGTGTATTGTTTGTCATATGTAGAGATATGCTTCAACTATTATGACGACCAAAAAGTTCTTGAACCGAATCTTGTCATGCATTATCTGTTGGAGTTAGACCCTTTTCCTGTTAGTTGGTATATCATGAGCTGGAAGGATAATCCGAATCCTAACAGTATATGGGTTTTTGATGCGACTTCAGAATGGCTCAAAAAGGTAGGCATGATGGTAACCTTTGATGAGGACTCCCCTTTCTATTGTTCTGTATTAGCTTCCAGATATTTACCTGCAGGAGAGCTAGAACACTTTAGTTTTGAAGCCTAAAACCCTCAAATGGTGGCAAGACAATTTGGTTTATGCCAATCTCTTGCTATCCCCTTGTTCACCACATGTAACATTCCTTGGGATTCTTGTCCAAAATTTCATGGGGAGGATGTTTGGAAAAGTGATTCCCTCACATATCCTTAAGTCGTTTTGCAACCCAAGAAGTCAAGCTATGTGGTATCTTTGAGTTATCTTGAATGGTGGTATCATGGACGACTTCAAGCTCATGTTGTTGAGGATGCCAAAGCACACTTTGCTGTGAGTGTGGGTAATTATAAAGGTACGAGTTCCTCTAAATGTTTCCTTCGCTTACTTCTATTCTCCACTCATAATCTACTTTTTAGGTAAGAAAAAGACTGATGTATCCTCAATCAAGATGAAGGGCAAAACTTCCTACCATTAGATTGATCGCTCATCTAAGATTGCCGCAAAGTTTAATTATGAACCTATGGCCATAGATGATTTACGCAGAAGTATCATTCATTCCCTTACTGATAGAGTTGGATTGAGAAAGATAGTCTATCTTTCGACTCCATGTTCCTTACAGAAATCAAGGAGTAACAGGCATAGGAACATCCCCATGTCAAGTCCCAGCACAAGGTCTTAATATGCATTCAAAACAGAACCAGAGAAACTACTAAAATCCTTCTTACCAGTAAGTGCATTATCTCTAATTTATCCAAGCTTCCTGTACCTTGTTACTCACTATGACACCTTTCATATCAGGTCTGGCTCCCAATACTAAAGAGAAGCGAAAGTCTCCAGAACAGACCACGCCTTCCAACGTTTTTTTTATTGGCAATGATGAAGAAGAGTTAGGGAACACAACAAGCATTCTAGATCTCTTAGAGAAAAATGCTGCTTATAGCCTGCTGTCACTAGAGAAATCGCCACCTTATGACCCTGCACCTTCCTCTCTAACAATTTAAGGGCCTGAAAAGAAGAAGAGAAAGGGCGATTACGGTTCAACTAAGAACTTGGATGCTATTTCAGACAAACAACCACTGGGGAAAAGTTCATCATCTGGTGGTGAACTAAAATCTCCATATATTAAAGGTGATGTGGGTGCACGAACAAGTCATAGTCAACCAATCTTGAAGTTTCTATTTCAAGAATAACTCCGGTTTCATCTTTCAAATCATAACAATCCACAACTCCTGTACTACACAAACATCTCAGGTCGCTCAAACTGTCGATGCTAATATCAATATTGATGCCCCCTAGTTTCTGACCCATCGCTTATGACTTCAGAGTCTTTACCTTAGCCAAAATAACATTATATCGTTGTTCATGGCAAGGGCAAAACTATCCAGGATGATGCTGAACAAGGGAAAAGTTAATCTGTATCCATTTCGACCTTTGCTACACTCACTTAATTACTTGTGGCGAGCCTTTCTCATTTCAGTGCTCGAGCTTGAGCTAATGTCAGCTCAAGGGGCTCAGTCTTCTATGACGATTCAAGATCAAGAGGTAGAGATTCATGATGACTGCATCCACTACATGGTCCATTCTAGTAATGGTGCACAGTGATAACATAAATGTTCAGACTAGGGATGCTGGGCCTCAGACTAATACTACAAAATCAGGTCTTCATGAGGAATTTCATGCAAAAAAGAATGCATCTCCAGACTTAGGTAAATAACACATGTCTTCCTTTTATGTCTCTCTATTGATGTCTAACATGCCTTATTATATTCAGCATTGACAACTTTTAACCAAGGAATCCAAAGTAATAAGGCTTCAAAAGTGCAAACATCAGATAAAAGTAAGCATCCTAACCATATAGAGTTATCATGTTTATTTAGTCTTTACTAACGCTTGACCATTGAACACATATACCCGAGCATCTACATCTCAAGAGGTTAAACTTCTTGATGAAGTCCTAGCTCTTTGTGAGAGAATGGAATTACAAAAAGCCCCAAGTGCACAAATTAAGCTATCTCTGGAACTCATGGCTTAAGTTCGTTTACTAGGAAATAATGATCTAGCTATATGGGAAGATTTATCCGTCGCCTGTCAGGCATGTGCCATTGAATTGGCCAACAAAAGTCATCTATTCCTCCTTTGATGATTTCTGATATATCCCAGCAAGTCTCCTAAGTCTTCCAACAACAAGATCTTCTAAATAAGAAAGACTTGAAGCTAGATGTATAAATGGACCACCTACGCGCTGAAATTAATGAAGTCACGGAAGAAGAGAAAAAGCATCAAGCCAAGAGAGCTATGATAGAAAAAAAGCTTCAGGACTGTAGAAGAGAGAAGAAACAGCTGAAGCGCTAGAAATCTGAGAGTTCTCCAATGGTTTAAGAAACTTTATCTGAATTTGATCACCATGGTATGCAGATGGCACTGATGAACAAATGCAAGGTTCTTCTCTTTGAAGTTAAACGTAAAACAATGGCTGAAAAGTCCTTTCGGTTGTAAACAATACATTTTATTTGTCAAAGGCCTCCAATGATGGATGCTTTTTTTGTAAATTCTTACACTATTCCCATATGCTTGAGTTGTATTGTTTTAAGAACTTTCCATTAAATTCCTTTGGAAACATTTCCCCATCTAACTTTTGTAGTAAATAGGCATTCCCCGACATGACTTTGTGAACCCTGAATGGACATTTTTCAAAGATATGATCCTTATAGTCATGTTCAAGAAGCTTCATCTTCCACACTAAATCCCCTTCCAAAAAGAATTTATGTTTTACCTTTTTGTTATAAGATTTTGCTACTTGTCTTTTCCGAGCTTCGATTTTAGCTAGCGCTTGGAGTCTCTCTCCTTCAACGTCCATCAATTCAATGGACATACATTGCTTATAGTCTTCCTGGTTAATACTCATTTGTTTAACTATCCTGGTAGACTTAGAGCCTAGCTTTGCTGGTACAACAGGCTCATGCCCATACACTAGTTGGTAAGGGGTAGTTCCTATTGCATCTCTTTTTGACGTTCTAAATGCCTAAGTAGAATAGTACAAGAGAATGTGCCAATCTTTAGGATTTTCATCCACCATCTTAGCGATTCCTTTAGAGATTACTTTGTTAGTGGCTTCAGCTTGTCCCTTAGCCTGGGCAAAATAAGGGGTTGAATGAATCTTTTGAATCTCGAATTCCTTGAGATAGGAAATGAACTCATGTCGTATAAACGTGGTTGCTTGATCCACGGTTATAGATTCCGGAATCCCATATCTTATAAAGATTTTCTCTTCCAAGATCGAACACCTTGCATTTAAACTCTTGAAGGCTTGGACCTCAATCCACTTTGGAAAGTAATCTGTGGCTATCAAAATATACTCATGGTGAGCAGAGGAAGGAGGTTTATTAGGCCTAATTGCATCCATCGCCTAGCCTCTAAAAGGCTAAGGTTTGATAATAGGGTGCAATTCTATTGTTGGTGCCCTACTTATTGGTCTAAAGCGTTGACATTGTTTAAAACCTTTTGCATGTTGCAAACAATCCTGTCTAACTGAAGGCTAATAAAAACCCATGTGATGGATAACCACCTCATCTTAGTCCTTGCTTGGTGTGACCCACAAATTCCATGATGGACTTCTGCTAAAATGGTTAACACTTTCTTTGTGCTAACGCACCTTAGTGAAATGTCTTGAGGATATCTCCTATACAGCTTACTCCCCATAAGAAAGTATTTAGTAGCTACTAGCCTAACTTTTTCTTGCACTTTTCCTTTTGAAGGGTCTTTCAAATACTCCTCAATCTCCTCCCTCCAGTCTACATCCTGATAAAGGATACCGTACTTGTGCAATTCTGCCTTCACTTTTTCATCTAAAGGTTTCAATTTGTATGTGTTTATATGAATCACTGATTTATCGAAACCTTTAAAATTGGGCAGCGATGCTTATTGTGCCAAAAAGTCAGCCTCTCTATTTTCTTCTCTTGGGATATGATAGACTTGGATGAATTCAAAAGCATCTATAAGCTCCTGAACGATAGACAAAAAGGTCATCGCCAAGGGCGAGATTCCTTTATATTCTTTGTTTACTTGGGCTATCACCCATTGTGAATCACCTAACACCTTAACCTTTGTAACTCCCATATCTTTCAGAGTCCTCAAACCAATCACTAAGGCTTCAAACTATGCTCTATTATTTGTGCATTGAGTTGAGAAAGTGATCGTCATCTTATTCCTTACACCAGAAGGTGAATAGATCACAATTCCAACTCCAACTTACTCTCTCCTACTAGATCCATTAAAGAACATTGTCCATGGTTTTTCTTCTTGGATCGTAACATTCTCCATAGGTGGATGGTCAGCCAAAAAGTTAACCAACGCTTGTCCCTTTACGGCTTTTTGAGGTACATAAGTTAGCTCGAGTTGCGATGGATGCATACTCCATTTACACAACCTTCCTTTAATAAAAGGGTGATTCTATAAGTATTTGAGTGCATCTATCAATTGTAGGATTTTAAGTTGTCCAACACCGCGCGGAAACAAAACCCGCCTAAAGATCCGTGCATAAATTAAAGCAACTTAACATACATGCAATTAATTAAACAATAAACACATAATAATAGAGAGAGAGAGAGGGAAAGGAAAAGACAATCATACCCTTGATGCGTGTTTTCCACTTAGCACGAGCACGAACTCACGAATGAAGAAAAAGCCTCAAATGCGACCCCTCCAACGTAGTCCACCCACGCGCCCAAACTTGGCTAATATTACCAGCTAGAGTAATATTAACACTACTAACAAGAGGATCTCTTTATAAGTTTTTCTCAATGGAGATGACTTATATAGAGTTCAACTCTTGCAATGATTCCCAAGGGAGGCCTTAGGTATTTATAGGAGAAGCTTCTCCATTCCCTTGATTTCCAATCAATGAAAGATTTTGCAAGGTTGAGAAATAAATGCATTTAATTTAATTCTAAAATAAATTAAAATACAAATGAAAAATAATCAAACAAGTGGCATAAACATAAGAGAGTTAGGTGAGGACCACAAGGCCCTCCTTACTCCCCAAGCAAAACCGAGCACTATATGCGCGCGCCAAGTGGCAGCCTATCTAGCGGCTAGCCTTGAGCAATAAGGCCTGTCGTTGCTAGAAGCCTTGCGCTCTCGGCTGGGCTTGCTAGCCTAGGCCCATCATAGCCCTCGCAAGCATGCGGGTTGCTACGCTACTGGGCGCTGCTGCTGCTATCGCAAGCGATGCTCGCTGGGCGCAGCACTTGCTAGCGAGGCCCAGCATGCTACGCTAGCTGCTGGCCTTGCTATCTCGTGTTAGCGATGCCCACACTCGGCTAGCACGCCCAGCTCGCCCATGTGCATGGCTTTCTAGGCCTGCGACCAATGCTAGCGAGCAGCATGCACTCGGCTAGCAGGCCTAGCTAGTGCATGTGCGCACCAAGCTAGGCTTGCGGCCTGTGTTTGCTTGTGGCTACTTGTGCTAGCCTAGCCCTCGTACGGATAGGTCGATACGAGGCTAGGGCTGTGCACTTTGACATTATTATTTGTTGTTTGAATTATTTGTACGTCTCGTAAATTGCTAGAATTTAACTCGACGTTCGACATTTGGCTTCGACACTCTAAGTTCGGAATCCAACGTCGGATTACGTATCCTCTTGCTTGATGTATTAAGGCCTTCGACTTAATTCGTCGCCTTAGTTTTGTTGCTGATAGGGTCGTAAAATATATTATTTATATATATATATTAAACTCTTGATTTTATATTGACATTTAATGATTTAAGGGTATATTAAGCAAATTTCTTCCCAAGACATGAGTTACTACTATTTTATTTATTTGGTTGTAGGAAGGAAGATTACGGCATCAAATTACATTTTTACCACCGCTCGGATCAAAAGAAATGAAGACCACAAGACCAGATGAAGTTACATTTGTCTCAAGCCCAATAAGATATTATTGTCAATGGGCATACTAGAGGAAAGAGAGCTATATACTCATCAGATCTTTTTCTCTTTCTTTTAATGAGCAGTGAGATAAATCTCTTGAGCGATTTTCGTGGGTACCGAATTGTCAAGCAAGGGATGATAAAGATGAAATTGGATCATTATTGGAGCGAAAAATTTGGATTAGTTAGGGATTGAAGACTCTTATTGATATACATGGGGCTGGCAAATTGGGGGGTTATCATCATGGGCGGATCTAGGGGGGTTCAAGGGGGTTCATTGAACCCCCAGATTTTTTGAAAAAAATTTATAAGTTTTGATTTTATTTTTTTTTAAAAAAATAAGGTTAAAAGAAATTTTTGTGAAGTAAATAAACAAGTATGTAACTTTGACACATTGGTAAGGGAGTGACTAATAGAGTAGTGAGGCTCCTCTTGATCATGGGTTCGAGACCAACCACCCTCATTTTTTTGTTTTTTTTCCCCCTTTCGATTTCTTCCGTTGTTCTTCATGAGTTAGTCCATAGTTGGGTCAATACTTTTAGGAGTAGTATGTTGGTCATTTTGTTAAGTTAGAGAGTTAAATGAATTTAGAAGTTAATGAGTTTATTTAGTGGGTTTATGGGTTAAACATGGCATTATACTTTCAGTTTCTTAGCTTATTATTTGTTGTTTGTTAGCCTACATATATGGCTCTTGTATTTGGTGAAGTAAGCATGAAGAAATATTATGAGTTCTTTATTTTACTTGCTTCATACTTATCTAATATTATTATTGCTTTTATCCTTTAGTACGTATTAGTTTCAACGGTCCTCTTATTCCTCTACTCCTCTTAATTCTTAAATCATTATTTGTTTGTAAATTAGTGATAATTAGATTAATTATTGATTTGTTTAATTAGTTTTGATATATTGTTGACGTACAAATTGAATTTAGAAACTTAGAATTTAAAATTTTTACTTGGTCTTTTAATTGATAATTAGAAAAAAAAATTCATTATCAAATTTGTGTTTATTGGGGACTTGGGATTTTTGTTTTTCGAATTTTCGTGTAATATTGATTTTTTGCAATATAATTATAGATTTATCATTTATAGAAGTAGTAATGTTTTAGCACGCTTTCAAAGTATAAAACTCGAAGAATGCTTTTGTAGGTTTTTTTTATTTATTATTTTATAACTGTTTAATCCATCCATTTGTAATAAAAAATTTTGAACTTATATATTGAATATTTAATTAATATATGAGCATCGTTTGTTTTTTAGATTCCGAACCCACAATTCGGAATTCCTGAATACGCCACTGGTTATCATATTTATAATTTGGGGAATTTTCTTGGTGAGGTTCAGAGGGGTAAAATTAATGAACTTCATCTGAATTTGGCGATGTATATAGCACGGGATAAGCAAGACGGACTAGGCGAGGCGACTCGGCTCAGCTTGTGTTTACTTTGATTCTTACTAGAAGATTTGGTACTGTATTTATGTTTTCATTTTCTTTTCATTCGATTTCAGCCATGGTTTATCTTGGATTAGTAGTAGTATAAGTTTTGCTTTGGAGAATAAAAATGAAAGTTAGTGCTTTCACTTTGTTATTTTGCTCATGAATACGTCAGTACTAGCTATTATGCAATTTGCTATATTAATTTAATTATTAGCTTAATTTCATTTATTTGCTTTGTTAATTAGTTTGATTATGAATTTTATGTTTTCTATTATAGTTACCTCAATATTTGTTATGTCAGGCTAAATTATTAGTAGAGTAGGGAGGTAAGTTATGTATTAGATTATTGGATTGTAATAATAGATATGTTGTAATTTTTGGGTATTATATTTATTTCTTAATTGGTTTGATAATCTGTTTGAATATTACAAACTAGTTGATTATATTTGAGATTGGCCATCTTTGGTGTAATTTGCTAGTTGTGATCCGTAATTGCCCTTGTTAATTTCCCTTAGTAGCAATTAGGTGTTTAATAGGTGACTAAAGCTTGTTATAATGCCTAAGATTATCAACCCTTTGAGTTGCACAAGTCCGAGCTTGTGAGATTGTGACTTAAGTTAACTAAACCCTTGCGATTAATGCTGATAATTAATCGAGCCTAGAGAGCTTGTTCTAGATTATTAGTTATTTAGACAATGAGCCAAGAGCTTGTTTGGTTTATTTGCAATTAAGGGAAGTTTTGAATACTTGTATGTGTTCATTAGTTAATATTAAGATATAGGCATGATTTATATTATTTGATGATCAATTGATACTCCAATGCTAATACATCTCCCGCTCCCTATTTCATTATATTTAATTTGTTATCTCTTAGTTTTATTATTTTTCATTTCGGTTAGTACGTAGTATTTTTTCTCTTAAATTTATCGTCAAAACAGGGGTTTCTAACTTACACAAGTAATAATTTGATAATCCAATTCTTTGTGGGATCAACCCTAGCTTACCCTACTACATTTTAGGAGGCTTTAGTTAGGT